GGGGGGGGGGGTAACATACCTGGACGCATATACTCCTCTAGGATCTCTCACCAGAACTACAACCTTGAGATTAAGCTCTGGGTCCAGAAGAAGCTGCTCAGTATCAGACACCCTCAATCTGACCGTCTTCATGAGCTTGATGGGATAGAGTGCGGTGACAGCGTTCAAGTAGTCTGGCATAAAGCACATGGTTTCTCTTGGGAGCAGGTTGTGACAGCTTTTCCACAAACGGGTGTTATGGTTCTGAAACAGGAACCTAAAATAAGATTCAAAATAATGAAAAATGTTTAAAACAAACTTAACACTGGCTTAAAGGGGAATTTTACAATCACACTAGCTTTGCAACCTCATCGTGAAAACCTTTGATGTTTCAAAATTTGATTTTTTAATCTGACAGAACACAAAGCTTGAAAGATGTAAGATTAGAAAATCAGATTTTGAGGCAATTGTTCGATTCCTTCAAATTACGTCTCAAGNTTTTTCTAACTCCAACTACCTGTTTCTAATTACATCTACCTGTTTCTAATTCCATCTACCTATTTCTAACTCCATCTACCTGTTTTTAACTCCATCTACCTGTTTCTAACTACATCTACCTGTTTCTAACTACATCTACCTGTTTTTAACTCCATCTACCTGTTTTCAACTCCATCTTTCTGTTTCTAACTCAATCTACTTGTTTCTAACTCCATCTACCTTTTTCTAACTACATCTACCTGTTTTTAACTCCATCTACCTGTTTCTAACTCCATCTACCTGTTTTCTAACTCCATCTACCTGTTTCTAAATCAATCTAGTTGTTTCTAACTCCATCTACCTGTTCCTAATTACATCTACCTGTTTCTAACCCCATCTACCTGTTTTAAACTCCATCTACCTGTTTTTAACTACATCTACCTGTTTTTAACTCCATCTACCTGTTTTTAACTCCATCTACATGTTTTTAACTCCATCTACCTGTTTTTAACTCCATCTACCTGTTTCTAACTCCATCTACCTGTTTTTAACTCCATCTACCTGTTTCTAACTCCATCTACCTGTTTTTAACTCCATCTACCTGTTTTTAACTTCATCTACCTGTTTTTAACTCCATCTACCTGTTTTTAGACCCCGACACGTGATGCAAAAATCCAAGGTTTTTTGAACTAAAACTCCCAACAAACAAGGATTTCAGGAAGTCCATTCTAGAAATTTGAATATTATTAACATTCACACGCATTTTATTGAATTTTCCATAATTTGTTTTAATCCAGTCTTTTACATTCAGATGGTTTTTTTTAGAAATAGTTCTGTATAAATTGTATGAAGTATTTTTGCAAATTCTATTGACAAAAAGTAGAATGTATGAGTACCTATTGGAAATACATATAATTACAAAAGATTAATAAAAGAACTTCTTTAAACTTTTAAGTTTAAATATTGATAAAATAAACTTTTGATCAACTTTTTAACTATTATTAACCATTTTAACTATTATTTAAATATGTAATGTAGTATTATTTGTATTGAATTCTTGATAAATACATACTAAAAATAATAAATTACCCAAAAAAGGCTAAAATAAAAATACTAGATTAAAAATGTATGATATAAAAGAATGAAAAACATTATTTGGTCACGCTACGGTTAATATAATTTTTAATTTTGCACAGAATTCAGCCAAATATTCAACGAAATAAAAATATTTTTACAGCTCACAGAAAATATTTTTATTCTTGACTCCAGAAATAATTAATCATATCATTGAAATATGATAATTTAAGATTTATTATTGGGCTGTTGTTACNAATAATTTTATAAAATTTTTTTAGAAAATAACATATTTAATCTCGAGGTCAATGTTTATCGGATTTTTAAGTAATATTTTATTGCAAGAGACTGCAGATGCAGCTGACATTATTTCAAGCAATTCTCTTTTTTAAGTGAAATGCCCGACACAAACAATCATTAAATAAGGTTCAAAATTGTCAAGTTTTTTGGAAGATAAAATAAACTCCGCCATCTTCCTTCCTTGTTTCTACTGAATAAATCCGCATATAAAATCTACAGAGAAATCACAATTGAAAAGTATTTATTTTAAAACAGAGAAACAAGGATATCTCTAGAATGTTTTCTGAGATAAAGGCTTTGAGGATAATGTTGTAAAGGACATGACACAAACGTAAATTGTCTAATCTCTAACTTTGCAACTTGATGGTGTAAACCTTTTATATTTCAAACTTAGATTATTTAATCTAAACAGAGTTGGAATATCTAAAGTCTACGCCATAGGGTTGCAAAGATATTGGGATTGGAAAATTAGAGTTTCTAGCAAAGACTCATTTCTTTTTTTAATTACAAATAATCACATTGTTATACCTATCAGGATATGACGGGATTGGTTTGATTGAAGTCTAGTTCCGACCGGAAGTCCTTCAGCTATTTGCATGGTGCTCGGAATCTCCTTTTCTCTTTTCCGCCATCTTGGATTTATTTTTCCATTGGAAAATTTGTTTGAGTCAAACTCTCGGCTTAGCGCGGCAATGGTTCGATTAACACCGAACAAAACCGGTTTTGAGTTCTGTCCCTGACCAGGCTTAAAATCCGCAAAAGTGAATAAAGTTTTTTTCCCGTTTTGAAGTTGAAGAGTAGGAATTTTCAATTGATTGTTGGGAGATTTGTTGAAAGATCGCTGGATTTCGAGTCTTCGATTGAGAATGATCTCTTCGGCTTCGATCTGGGGATCTATGCCGCTGTCTAAGATGATGATATTTTCTTCGATTGTTTTAAGGATCGCTTCTTCAGTTTGGTGAATTTCCTCCTGTTCTTGTTTGTGTAGCGAACCCATATTTCCAGTTTTTAAACCTGAAATTATTAGATTACATGACGTTAATAATATCTAAATTTCAAAATAATATTCAGAAAATGCTAATGAAGTTAAACAAGGACATGAAGCTTTATTGTAAGGGACCCTTCATGCAATTAAACATGACGATGTCCGTTTTACCAGGGTACCCATCCTAGTGGATGGTCTACAGCCTCTTTAATTTCACGAGTAATATTCATAAAATACTAATGAAGTTATATGATCTTAATATAATAAAATTTAGTTTCTACTTTTAATTGAACAGAAATTAAGAGTCATATATAATACCTTAAATAATTAATTATTAAAAAATTGTTGAATTGAAATTTTTTTATTGCCATTTTCGGACGGGTTTAAAAATCATAACACAAGGTGTAATTGGATAAACAGTAAGAACAAACAAAAATGAAATATGCAAAAGACATTTGAGTATTCTTGGATATAAAAAAATTCAATAACCCTCAAACATTAAAAAAATTAAATTCAAAAATGTGCAGAAAAACTCCGGGTTTCCCGAGAAAACATAAAAAAGTAAAAATGTGAAGAAATTTCTCTTAAAGTTGAATAAAGCACTTACTTCTCCTCCCCCCTCCTGACCCGGGCTGTATGACTGCAGGGGCTGAAGCCGGACTGTGGGTTAAAAAGTCCCATCCTGGACTAGCGTACTGTACAACTAGGATAACTGTTAGGAGTAAGGTACAACCAAATATCCGCATTTGTAAATGTCGTCTTCCCATCCTTGTAGCGACAGCTGATTAATCGGGGTGGATACATTTACAAACTGAGATCTTACATTTATATGTCTGAAATAAAAAAAAGATTGATTCCGACTAAAACAGAAACAGCAAAGAAAACTAGTTCTAACTAAATATGTATATTTGTATGTGTTTTTCAATCCAAACCTCTTCTTGTTGAAGAGCTATTCAGAAGTACAAAATTGTTTTGAATTTTTAATATGTAACCAAATGAAATTGCCTTGCTCTATACTTTTGCATAAAATGAAAACTTGAGGATCTAGGAGGTCACAAAGCCAGTTCTGTCTAGTTTACGGTGATCAGAATAAATCTTAGAACGTGTTAGTAGATAACCATCGAACAGAGAGTATAAATTTCCAAAGGAATTGAGTCTTTGCCACAAACTCTGGTTTTCAAGTTGCAACCCAATGTCGTGGACCTTAGATATTTCAAACTCTAAATTCTGTTAGATCAAATAATCTAAGTTTACAAACATTAGGTTGCAAAGATATTGAGATTAGAAAATTATTCTGAATAATAAACTTACTCATCAAAGTTTTCTGAACTGTTGAATATTTTGTAAATTTTTTTTTCTTGAATAAATAATTCGTGCCTGTTTTAAAATCTTTTAAACTTCCAAATTAGTTTTGATTCATTGATACGTATAGTTTTATAATGATGATATTAAGCTTATAATTGCTCTCATACAATTAAATATCAATTATAGGACTTTTTACCTTCCTGCTTTTTAATACTTGCTTTATACGCTCTTGGTCTAAAATTCAGATTTTTCCCAATAAAAGTTGACCCACTCAACCATATCAGAATATTCCCAATCGAAATTTGATGAAAATCGGTCAAATGGTTTTTATGAATTATGATCGGATATTCAAACAAACAAACAAATATATTATTTGAATGTTTTACTTTAATTTGTTTATTTAACTCAATAAACCCATCACACGCAATATAAACAAACATTACAATGTGAAAAAGTGCAAAAATTTAAATCTACACAACATATACTACACTTTAGACTGTTCTACACAACATATACTACACTTTAGACTGTTCTACACAACATATACTACACTTTAGACTGTTCTACACAACATACTACACTTTAAACAATACAATACAATACAATACAATACAATACAATACAATACAATACAATACAATACAATACAATACAATACAATACAATACAATACAATACAATACAATGCAATACAATACAATACAATATAATACGATACAACACAATGCAATACAATACAATACAATTATGACTTTTGTATTCGTTTCTTTTTATGTTTTTTTCTTTGGCAATAATTTTAAAATATTAATGTAAATCAAGCCTTAGAATGGTATGGTATGATTGAAAGATAAAAATGTTATATAAAATATAATTCTGAGGTATAGTCAGAATGTACCCCTTACTAACGCATCAACGGACAACAGAAGTATGCAAGAAAGAAATAATAAATAATAAGTTAAATTTTTCAAATTGGGATCGAAAGTGATAGTTTGCTGGTACTATAACCGAACCGTTGAATCAGTTTGTAACAATTTGATAGTTTTATTCTGAAGTAATCAAAATGTACGAAGAAGCTTCTATAATAGTCTTGTGTGATACATTTAAGAAAACCCTGAAGAAAGATGTGCTAAATGCATTTTGCAGGTTTATCTTGTTCATTCCGGATAGATCAGGCCTGGCATTCTTTTGCGAATTCATTCGACAAAAAAGGGAGAGTATACTTTAAATATACTTAAAACTTTCCGCCATTTTGTTCAGCTGTTTTATTGCGTTTTTTTGTGTAAAATTAAGTCAGTTTTAAGGCTAAATTGTTTCTTCAGTTTTAGCAAGAAAATTATCATCATTATTTTTTAGATTATGGATTCAGTAAATAATTATTTTCTTGTGATCAATATTAAAAAAAAAATCTTGAAAGAGAAACTGTTTATGCTACAAAATCAAATAATTAGTTGGTTTAAAATGTACACATTTGATGCAAGTTCTCACAAAAAAAACGTATTTTTAGCCCCTTTATACAACCATAGAATATACAGCCATAGAATATAATTAATCCGTAAACATCTGGACACGGTTATTATCTAAAGGGACTGTACGCGTAATTTCAAGTGACCCTCCATACAAAGATGGCACTATACGCCGTACCCTTGTTTAATTCTAATAATTTCTCCAGCTTTTATTATAGGCAAGAATTGCGCAAGTTATTTTTGCAGGAATCAGCACCCGTTGGGACTCGAAAACCCCTTAATCCTTAGATTCCATTGGTCTGGAGGAGGGGGCTTATCCCCTATAGACCCCCCTGACTACGCTTCTAACGGATACAGTGAATTTGAGAATAATAATTCTGAAAATATTATGTTTCAGAACAAATATCTATTGTTTAAAAATCATGAAACCACACAATTCAACTCTTCAAATGTGAAAACACTTCGAAATTCGAACGGATTTCTATTTGTAAAAATATTAAAAATCATTGAATTTAAACAAATCTTTTTTTTAAAAACCAGTCTTAGCTTAGCCTTGATCTTTTGTGTCATAGTTTCAAATATAAATTTGGATTATTAAGTTCAATACCATAAACTGAGCTATCAATATTGTACTAATGATGTAAATGTCATAAAACCCATAAAAGTAACAAATTAAAAAGTGTTTAATAATTCATGCCCGCCATGTGAAAACATATTTCAACACTGTCACCAGTTTAATTATAATAAATACTTTTTGTTCTAATGTAAATAATCTAACGTCCTTGCTCCAGAATTATCCCATTATTTATTTTAATCTTTTTTGTTAAATAATGTACATTGCATGAAATGTAATCCTGTTTAATTATTTTCATTATAAAAATATAACCTCCAAAAACTTTGATTTTAATCCTGTATTTGTATCTGTATCTGTATCTGTATCTGTATCTGTATCTGTATCTGTATCTGTATCTGTATGTATCTGTATCTGTATCTGTATCTGTATATCTGTATCTGTATCTGTATCTGTATCTGTATCTGTATCTGTATCTGTATCTGTATCTGTATCTGTATCTGTATCGGTATCTGAGAGTAAACTAAATATATTTGCTGGCTAAAATCCAACATTTAAGAAAGAAAGGGTGGGGGGGGATATGAATGTGTAGGGAGGGGGGAGAGGTGTATTATGGAGGGGGAGGGGAAGGGGGGGACAGGTGTAAAGTGTTTAGAGGGGGAATTAAATAATAATTAAAGAATGAAAACGCGATGAATGTAAATTTTAAGATTTACGGGAATTTTAAAATGATCTGGGAACAAAAGAAAAATCCAAGTTTTTTCATTAGTTTTGATGAATTTTACCCAAAAATGTGATTATTTTCCTCTGAAAACCTCTCCCCCCCCAACAAAAAATTTAGGGAGTAAAATCCTTATATTAATGTAAAGAAAATGTTCACCCCTGATGTGAAATAAAACTTATTATAGATTACCACAAGTCACCACAAATTCTATTTTTATAATTCCCTATATTTTGCAACCTGATCGTGTGAACATTTGATATTTAAAACTTAGATATCAAAGGTCTACGATATCAGGTGAAGCCGAAAGAAAAGTGATAAAATAAAAAGATAATTATTATTTTGATGATTTGCTGAATTTGTTTGACTTTGATGAAAGTTTAAATGATGATGACTTGGTTAAAACTACTGCAGTCATATACTAACAATAAAATCATTTTATAATTCTTAATTCGTCAGATATCTTGGCAATTTTTCTGAATAAGAAAAAATTACCCAAAGTTCAAATTTTCCAATCCCTTAATCTTTGCAACCTGATGAAGTAAACCTTCTAATCTATTATCTATTCATAAATGTATATCTATAGAAACATAAATTTACACTGTTAAAAGATAATCTGCATAAGAGTTCGATTTTCTACAGTGAATTGAATTTTTGTCCTAAAGGAACTTTCAAACTTTTTGGTTTGAAACACCTACGTCTGGTTGCAAAGATATTAATTGTCGAGATATTTAGTTTCCTTATTCTAAGATATTCTTTCCATTAAAATATCAATTTTTTTGTGCTTCAGATTTTGTTTATAAGATTTTGAACTCACTTGATAAAATTTATATTTTGAAATAATTTTCGAAATTTTTTTTTTTTAAACTTTAATTATGATTTAAAAATTGTTCTAGGCTAAAATATTACAATTTTAAGAGTGTATGATTTATTAGTGTTATATAGATATATATATATATATATATGAAAGG